AGCGTCTGCGTGTTGTCCGATGGGTTTTAGAGTTGGCGCATGCTCGTGCGAAGAGTCCTGTCCAGCCTTGCGCAGGTTGCCACATTTTGTGGCGCAAGATCTGTAAAGCTCCTGGTTTCCCGGGTGGGTTTAGGGAATGGGTTCTTAACAATGACATTGTTGACTTTGTGCCTTTGGGTATTCCAGATAAGGTGTGGTTGTGTCAGGTAGGGGATGCCCTACGTTCTGAAGCTGAATGGTGGGATACTGTAGTGAAGAGACAAAAGTCCCATCACATAGTGGAGGCCATGAAGGTTGATTGGTCTTCAGGTGGTCGTTGTCATGCCAGGGCCATTAAAGATGAGCAGCTGCCGCCACTACACAGCATAACAACTTCTCAAACCGTTCACGTGTCTCCAAGGCGAGTTTGCAAAGGCTCACCTGCCAAGTTCACACTAGTTCACGGGAGTGAGCCGATACCAGGGACAGTTTGGTCTTTTGGTTCTGTTAAGTGTGGTGTTGTGTCTTTTAACAAAGGTGTCGTAACTTTGGACCGGCCCATGTGTCAGTCCATGTATTGTAAGTCCGCACAACAGCATTCTTGGTGCGCTGAGCCTGAGGCTGTTTTTGCTTCTGTTGCAAAATACTGGGATGGGTTTTGGTTAAATAGAAAGGAAATTGACATGGATTTTATCCAAACTTTAGCTCAACATTTGCCGGTCATGCCAGCTTTTGATGCAGAAATCACCCTTTCGGAGCTTCAGTGGGCTTTGCGAACGTCCAAAACGGGAACAGCAAGGGGTTTGGATGGTTTTTCGATGCCAGAGTTGAAAGCCATGCCAGAAGTGTTGCAGCAGATGTTATTGTCTTTATTCAACACTGTAACTCGCGTAGGTAAGTGGCCTGAGAAGTTGCTTGATGCTACAGTAGCACTGCTTGCTAAGATTCCCCACCCGACCAGTGCCAAAGATGGTAGACCTATCACTGTACTAGCGACTTTGTATCGTGTATGGGCACGCTGCATCGCTGCGAAAATTTATTCCCATCTCAGCCCTGTGTTTCCTGAAGAACTGTACGGGTCAGTACCAGGCAAGTCTGCCATGGACCTTGCATGGGTTCTTCAGAATGAGTTAGAACTTGCACTCCACACCGGCGAGCATGTGGCAGGGTTTTCTTTAGACTTAAGAAAAGCTTATAATACGATCTCCAGGGAAGTAGTTTGTGTCTTGGCATCAAGACTTGGTTGGCCCGCATCCGTTGTCAGCGCTTATGGAAACTTCCTGAGCGGTGTAAGACGTCACTTTCGCATTGGTGGTCAGCTGTTTCCTCCACGCACTAGCTTGACCGGTGTACCTGAAGGATGCCCGCTCGCTGTCTTGTCCATGATAATCATCACGTGGGCAGTGTCCGGTCAGGTGCAAGCTTGCCACGATTTACCATTGCGATCATACGTTGATAACTGGCGTATACAAGCTTCTGATCCTCAACTTGCTTGTGCGGCCACCAGCACCGTCTCTTCCGTCACCAAAAACTTAGGGATGTCTCTGTCGCCCGACAAGTCAATAGCTTATGCTACTTCTAAGGAATTCCGTGGCATTTTGCGCCGATTTTCTATTGAGGGTGTTTTTATTCCTGTCGCTAATGATTTTGGTGATTTAGGAGTTCAGTTTTGCACCCGCAAAGCATCGTCTGCGAAAGGCTTTCAGGGCCGAGTGGATAAGAATTTAGTTAAGTTGGAGCGCCTTCAAGTGCTGCCTTGGAGTATCGCCAAGAAAGTTGCCTGCTTGACGCGGTTTGTTTTTCCGTCAGCCTTGTATGGGTCGGAGCTGAGCTCGGTGTCCGTTTCTGCTTTAGGTACCTTCCGAGGCAAATGCAACAAAGCTGTTTGGGGATCTGCAAACCAAAGAAATCATTTCCTTGCGCCTTTGCTTGGTGCAAGTGAAATCTATGAGCCATGGATTCATGTCTTTAGGCGGCGCTGGACCACGCTTAAGCGCATGTGGGCCCTGCACCCTGTCGTTCGTAGTGCCTGGAATGTCTTGCTACACAGCCGTGTGTCCAAGTGCGGAGGGCCTCTGACGTATTTCTTCAAGGACATTCGTAGTTTAGGATGGATCCCCCTTCCGGATGGTTGGGTCGAAGTGCCAGGTCAAGTTAAGCTTAGCATCCTTCTGTCTAGTTGGGATATTGTTTATGAACACTGGTTGGAGGCTTGGCAGTGCGAAGTTGTACAAGTTGTGCAAAGTTACCAAGGGTTGGAGGGTCTCCAAAGTTTTTCGGTTCGTTTAGTTCGGCAGTTGCTTCAAACTGGGCACGGTTACGATGCTCAAGTTGCAAACTACGCATGTGGCGCCATAGTGCCGGCATCGCGACGGAAGCATTTTGCAGCACCAGAAGATTTGTTATGCCCTTTTTGTAAAGCTGAGCTTACAGTTGAACATATGCTTGTGCACTGCCCAGCTACGTTGAGTTGCAGAGAATCGCTGACGCTCCCTGCGACTCTGAGCACTTTTGAGTTGCAATGGGGTTTGTTTCAAGAACCACCGGAGTTGCTTCAGTTTAAGAGTTTGATGCGCACCCGTACCTGCGAGACTGTCACAAAGTTTTTTGAAGGCGAAGACGTCCACTTGTTCACAGATGGTTCCACTCTGCATCCGACAGATCCAGTCCTCAGTCTGTCTGCCTGGGCTGTTGTGCTTGCAGAACCTGGGGTGCTGAGCCAAGCCAAAATGCTGCATGATTATGTGCCAGGTGAACATCACACGAACAACAGAGCCGAGACTTTTGCAGTCCTTGCAGCCGTACTTTTGGGGGATGGCGGGGTTATTTACTCCGATTCGGAAGTTGCTGTTGCAGGTTTTAATTTGCTTTTGCAGCATGGCTGGGATATCAGGAAGTTGTGGAAACACAGCAACCTTGATATATGGTTCGAAATTTCCCAAGCACTTAAAACTTGCAGTGGCACTTGGCGGATCGTGAAAGTCAAAAGTCATCAGGATTGGCGCTCAGCGCCTGATGAGCAACACGCGTGGCTTTGGTTCCACAACGGCGTTGCAGATGAGTATGCCAAAGCGGTGTTTTCTCGAAGTGACAAGCGTGTCAATGACTGCCACCGTCAAGCTGTGCAAGCTGTAAAAGGCACGCGCGCTGCACAGGCGCAAGTGTATTCTCTGCACAGAAGCGTTGCGGAAGTTTTCAACACTAAGCACCACACCCGTAAGTCTGTAAGTTTAAACCCGCATGTAAGCCCCCCCTCGCAAAATACCTTTCAAGACAGAGTCGGCATGCTTTCTGCTGACGCAGGGGTTGTTTTTCCTGGTAAAGATAATGTCCCAAACTGGGATGTGTTCTTGTTGTGCCCACCTTTCGCGCAACTGTTATTCGACTGGTGCTCGCGGCATCGATGGGTTCCAGATGAGCAAGGTTTTTCGGTGATGGAAATGTATTTTGCTTTCACTGCCGAAACGGGTTGGTTAGCCCCAGTTAATGTTGCTAAGTGGGACAAAGCTGCCAGACCTGCACCTTTTGACAAAGTGTCGGTCAAGGCAGCTTGGGTGCATCAGGTCCAGTGCCCTCAGATATCCTTGTGTGCTCAGCCTCTCACTTCACAAGTGCTAGTTTTTTCTCACGTTCTGCGTGCAGTTCTTTCTGCATGCAAATGCCCATGGAAGCTCAGTTCACAGTTTGCTTTGCGATGCGTCGGGGTCCCATGCAAAGTCCCAGCACTGCGCATGAGGCCTCAGTACCATACGGCAAGAGTGGTGTGTGATAGTTTGTTTCGGCACTTCACTGGCCGACTCTACCGGCAGGTTCTCAAGGAGGGCTATACAGTTGTACAGGAACCGGTTGCGGCACAGATCCCTTTCCGGTCCCCTCATGAGATCTTTTATGCGCATAAGCGTGCCCACCGTCAGGCACACTGAAGGCGCAGTGTTGTACGTAGTCAGTCCTCAAGTGGTTGCTTCGGGACAGTCCGCAATGGATGCATGCATAAAACCTAAACCCCAAACCCCTAAACCCTATACACCTTTGGAGTTATGGTAGGATAAGATGAAGCCTCCAAGGTCCTAAGGTCGAAGGTTCCCTACTTCGTTTCACGGGTCGGTTCAGGACATACCTGTATAGGGACCATTGCATAAACACTTTGAGGGGTTTATTTACTGTGGGGGTCTTTCCATTACGTTGATACGCGGGGATAGTGCAAGACATAAATCGAACCTCCATGTCAAATGTTACAGTCTGTGCCTTCGGTTACAGTTTGAGGGCTCTGGAGTTGAGTGTTCTGTTTTGTCTAAACCCTTTTGAGGCTGCTCTTTGATCAAGTATGCGCTATCACCGGGATGCCAGAAGAGGAACCCTACGTGTTGTATCCCGACCTTCATATGTCACCGAAGCCAAAAGACCCAACAAAAAAACAGAAGAAGCAACATTCCGCAGAGTGCTACTTGTACACGAGCGTCAGGATTTGGGGTATTAGGGTGACCAGCGAACAGCCTACTCTAGATGAAGGTTGTGAACAATCTCTTTTCTGGACCCCTAAACCCTAAACCCTAAACCCTAAACCCTAAACCATCGACAGAACTCCAAACCCCGGACCTCAAAGGAGAGACCGGGTTCTGACTCAGTTTCAGGAACCCTTACTTGGAGGTTCATGGGTAGTTATACGTAGGGTTATAAGTCCCCCAACCATCAGTTATACCTATAGTTACCCTACTTCTATCCCCACTTATAACTATCCATGAACCTCCAAGTATAAGACATCGAATAGTATTCCCAACTACTGGAACCTCTCTGTCCCCCAGCTGAACCCGTGAGTACGGAACACAGGACCTCAGCATATGCCCCAACTAGCAAGAACCGCGCTATGTGGACTTCGACTTCCAAGTGCCAAACATCTGCCCCTGCTTGTATACCTAGGATGCCCAGTACCTAGGAATAAAAAGGGCTGGTATTGGGTAACTTTGTAAGGAACCCAGGACGACAAAAAGGGAAAAAGGGCCCAATGGGAGGCTTAGATACCCTCAGATCTTATCTGAGAGTCTTTTTCGGTGCAGATCATCGAGGCGATCGACGTTGGCCTGTCGAGCTTGTGGCATCCACGGTTGGCTCTGGGCTTTATGTTCTTAGGTAGACTTAAATATGAAGGGTCTCAGAATGAGCTTTATAGGATTTGAAATTGAGTTTTCTGGAGGGTTTCTGTGCTTGTAATTACAGGCTTCTCGCATGATGCTGTGTTTGACGAATGGACTAGCTTGGGAGCGTCAGTCGTTGCTTACTTAGGGTATTTCGGAGCTTAGGGCAAACTCTACGACCGGGTGTGTGATAACACTCGACGCAAAACCCTCAGCTCTCCCCCGCATCCTCATCCCAGCTCATAGGTAAAGCAAGAGCCAGCCACAATCGCCTACATCCTAAACATCCCTAATAGACGAGTCGCCTTGGTCAGCCGGAACCGGCCATGTGACGACTGGTGTGCGAAGAGCGTGCCCACATATCCTTTGCAACAGGGCTGCGGGCTCAGGCTTGTAGTCATTATTATAATTCTAGGGGGGCAATTTGGATAGGGCTTGGCTTTGGTGTATACTATAATCTACGATGATTAATGATTAAGTTAATTCTTAGAACATGTGGTAATATACAAATTTAAGATTTCGGTCTGTACTGGGATATTCTTGCTGAGCAATATGATGCAGACCCATGCATTTTGATGCACTTGTCCAAACTGCATATAGCTACGGGCGGCCGCGGTGCATCCTTGCATTGCGCATAGTTGACCCCAATCCCTGAATTTCGAACTACATCGCAATCATGGACTCCCCGAGCTATTATGTAACCTACAATTACTATTCCCCTAAACCCGAGAAGCTGCATCTTTTGGTATTTTTGTGAGCTAATCCCGATGTGCATGAGTCGAAGCACAACTAGCTTGAGGACCCCCTTCGTTGAACAAAACGACTTAATAGGGGATGCCCTGCAACCTCCTAACTGTTTCAGACACATACAGAGGCTCCAAATAATTACTCATAGAGGGTTTCCGAAAATAGGGGACCTTAATGTAGCACCCTAAATAGCAGGATCCGTATTATCACGACCCACTGTAAGGTACCCCTAATTTTCGGAACCCCCCCATAAAACCCCATTTCGGTGCCTAGGCAAGGTGAAATGGTGGAAACGGTCCCAAGTTGACCGGGCAGCTGTTGATAAACTCGTCAAACTCCAGGTGCACTGTCGACTGCACCTGAAAGACCACTTAGAAGACTTGTGTGAAGCTTCTTCGGCCCGAATCTCCCTCAACCCAAAAACAAAACCTCAAACCAGAGATCGAAACACATCTACCCCTGAACCCAAAATCCCAAAAACAAGCTTCAGAGCCGAGAGTGAACACATCCTCCACCCTGCTTTTTATAAGTCTTTGCCTGTCTGGGGTGGATGCGGCTCAAGTCTTGTCCATAATATCCATTACCCTAGCCCCAAAAGGGTTAACCTGTTCAATTATGATAAGGTTATATAAGCCCCAAAAGGTTATAAAGGTTACCTACTCAGCTACTAAGCTTTGGAGGTTCCCGTGTTCTCTTCATTGTCAGGCTCAAGACTGAATCAAGCTGTGGGGCGAGGGCAAAAGAGTTTCGGGCCATTTGCAGTGAAAGACTGACACTATCGGGCTCGGGTCAATTAGAACAGGGTTTTGGGGTATCTTGCACTATGATCATTTAGGGTTATAAGGGGTGTTATGGCCAAGCATTACTGGAGTCCCTTCTTCCATTACTCTGTGAATCTGAGGAGCTGTCGCCGGCGTTTTTTTGGTCTTACGCCCTAACGCCCTAAGCAAAAGCTCCAAACCAGGAAACCCCAAATCCACAAAACCCACAACCGGAAAAGACAACAGTTTTTTTAGGACTTAACCTCCTGAACGCCGAACTCCCAAAATGCGCTAGAAGCTGAAACACTACACCCGCAACCTTCCACCTCAAAAAAACCAAAGCCTCCAAAAGCATCGACTTCTAGAACCCGTTTGCAAACCTCCTACTGGTCGGGTATCATGGGGAACTGAGGTTAACCTTTTTGGTTTTTTAGGGATTATATAGGGACTATATGGGGCTATACTGCCCAAAAGAGGAGAAAGCTTGCCTACTCAACTACTAGGACCTTAAATGGAGCCCTTCGAATCCTCAAGGGAGCTGCTTCAAGGAGACAGGGTAGACTTGGGGATTTGTATGGGAAGCAAACTGGGCACAAACAAGAATTTACATAATGATCTCACCGAGTGTGGTGGTTATTATCCCTACTATTCTTATTATTGTTGTCGATGTCGGTGTCGTTGCTGCTGTTGCTGCTTTTGGAGTTGTGTTACTGTTGTTGTCGCTGTTGTTGTTGTTGTTGTTGCTGCTGCTGCTGCTGAAGAGAGCGGGGATTGCAGTTAAAAGCAACTCCCCATGGGGGGTTGGGGGCGCAGCCCCCCCATATTTGCAAACCGTCCAACTTGAATGCGGTTTTAAGTTTCCTCGCCTTTACTGCTCCCTAAAGCGATTCGGGTGGCTTCTCCATCTTGTGTGTTGGAGAAGACGTTTCTATTCATTTGTTCGTTTTCGAAAGAGACTCGCGTGCTGATAACTTTGTCTTCTTGTTTTTTAACTCCCCGAAGCGAACATGTCTGGCTTTCGCCTTCTTCTCTGTCGGTCCAGACGTTGCATTCATGATTAGTTATACCTTTTGCCTAAAACCCCTGAAACGTTTTCGTGTGGCTTTCTCCTTCTTTTGCGTTGGAAAAGATGCGTGTGTTCTTTCCCTCGACGGCTTAAGAGATTGGGGAACCTGCAGAAAAAATCGGGGATTCGGTGGGGGCAGCCCCCACCCCATTTGCACCCTAAAACGATTTCATGTGGCTTATCCATGTTGTATGTTGGAGAAGATGTTTTAATTCATTTATTCGTTTTCCATAGAGGCTCACGTTCTTCTTACTGTGTTTTCTTGCCCTTTGTGCTCCCCAAAGCGAGTACGTTTGGTTTTCGCCTTCTTGTCTGTCGGTCAAGACGTTTCATCATGATTAGTTGTATTTTCTTCGCTTTTAAGCCCTGAAGCGTTTTCGCCTGGCTTTCTCCTTCTTGTGTGTTGGAGAAAACGTGTTTTTTATTGATTTCTTCACGGCTTACTGTAAGAGACCGGGTGGATTGGGGTGGCGGGGGGGCCGGGGGGTGGGTGCAACGAGTGGTCTTTTTTTGCAAAATAGAGTCACTTACATTCCATTTTGCTTTCTTCGCTTTTTAAACCCCGCAAAGCGCGTACGTCCGGTTTTCGCCTTCATGTCTCTCGGAGAAGACCTTTCACTTTTTCTTCGGCAAAGAAAAATCTCCAAGGACTAGAATTTTCCTAAGAAACCTACCAATACGACACGACATCCGTCCAAGATGTATGGAAAATAGTGTTTTCCCTCGGAAGAATCATGGAAACGAACCAAAACAAAAAAATGACCCACACAAAAAAATACACCAAAAAGTAGGCCCTCCAAAAGAAACACCAAAATCTGCAGGGCCTTCATTTTAAACCTTAAAGAACCCTACCTGCAAGGAAGCTTCGAAGGAACCTTTTGACGTGACTCAAGCCACAGAAGCCAGCCTGCACGGAGCCCAGAAGGGTGTGCGCACCAAGATCCTGGGTTTTTCAACAAGCTTCTAAAGGCTTTGGAAGGCCTTGACAGATTCTTTTACAGGTTGACACATGTTCATCTTCATAAGGTTTCCGGGTTGGGGGTTCCGATCATGGTGTCTGCGAGCTTCATACGCTGAGCCCTTGCCTGCCCTGACCCGGAAGCAGGATAACGAGGTGACGCAGTTTCGCGAGCTAGTCTTCCAGAGGACGATCACTGGTTCGATTCCGAGGCCACAAAAGTTGTTCAGTTTCAGACAATAATCCTGCGGAAACCAACAGCATCATGCCACACCAGCAGCTCGACAAACGTTTATGATCTGATCTGAGCGTTGCACAATGCCACCACAATCTTTGATCTCACAGGTGCTCCGCAGCTTCAGTCCTAAACGTTGATGCTGCCACGGAAGAGCTGGACGAACCCGATGAAAGCTGCGAAAAGGCCGACAGCTACAGGCGGAGCAGGTGGCCGCTTTTGCTCTTGCACTTGTTGGACTCCAACTCGTGTCTCTTGTGTTCCCCACCGAGAAAGACTGTTCTTGCAGGTGTTTGTCGGCACGCGCCAACCTGAAACAAGCGTATGGTCATGTTGCGAGGGTATGCCATCCTGATTGCTTTGCCACAGTGAGGTGAGCGAATTGCAGCAGGATGCTCAAGCAATTCGGATAGCAAGATAAGCTCGTTGGGATCCCGACCCGAAATACTGATCTTTAGCTCAGGCTCATGGGAACACCGATAGCAACCGTCGGACCAGGAATATAGCACAATACGATGCTAAAGCACAGGGAGCTGGATGATGACGACGATGGTGAGGGTGACGGTGACGGTGATGGTGAAGGTGATGGCGATGCTGAAGATGTTGACGACGATGATGATGATGACGAGGAAGCTGGCGACGATGAAGATGATGGCGATGATGATGCCGACGATGATGATGGTGGTGGTGGTGATGATCATGATGGTGACCATGATGATAATGGTGATGATGATTGTGATGGCAATGATGATGATTATGGTTGTTCTGATGGTGCTGGTGCGGCTGGTGGTGATGGTGCTGGTGCTGGTGCTGGTGCTGGTGCTGGTGCTGGTCCTGGTGCCGGTGCCGGTGCCGGTGCTGGTGGTGGCGGTGATGGTGGCGGTGATGGTGGCGGTGGTGCCATCAAACTACTGTTTACAAAATACTGGCAGGGAAAAGAAACAACGAAGACCCCAGAGCTACTTTCGACCGAATCTCACAGACTGAGGCCCAGACACAAGAGTCACGATTCGAGAGCGAGCATCAAGTGTGACGACGTTTAAGGTTCAGATTTGAAGATTGAGGATCTAGGGTGTAACGGAATTTAAAGGCTTTGGCTTTTAGGCTTCTGTCGACTTGAACATGCTGCACTGGGATTCGGTCTTCGACACTCTCCGCAGCTGAAACCTTGCATTGTAAACCCCCGGCCCACAACGCGAACGGTTTAGGGTTTAGGGTTCTGCCCGGCGGGCCCCTCAGACCACTGAAGCCCCAAAAGAGTTGACGCCACCAACCCGGCGCCTACAACAGCGAACAAGAAATGCGAAAACCCTTATAAGCCCTTGAGCTCTGAAACCCTTAAACTAAAGCACCAGGCATCCACTGCGGGGATCGAAGCAGGTGAGCCGTCGGGTTCAGAGTGCAGGTTGATGGTGTCCTGGTTTAGGGTTTGGACCGGAACCACAAAAGCACCCAACAATATAATAAGCACGTGGGGGGATATCCTGAGTTCAGTGGGTTACACCAGGAAGTGGGTTATGGGATATCCAAGCCTCACTGACGGTTTTCGTTCAAGTCCTTTTCCGGCTCTGATGCCTCGTTTTTGTCTGCTTGTATAAAGGCTTCATAAACTCTTTAAGAGGGCTCGACCTGGGCTCCATGAGCGATTTACAGGGATGACGGTCTAGTCTTTGGTTTTAGGGCTTTGGGTTCAGGTTTGATGAGCCCTGGCGGTTGGGCTCAGAAGTCGAAGGGATGGAGGTTCCGGCATGGTGCTCGGCGATCTGCTTCCGGGCCTGTCCCCCAACCATTCGCCACCCCCTAAACCCGAAGCACTGAACCCCTAAATCCTAACCCCTACATTCCCTAAACCCTAAACTCCCTAAACCCCTGAGCCCTAGCCCCCAAAAACCCTAAACCCCCAAACCCTAAACTCCCTAAACCCCTGAGCCCTAGCCCCTAAAAACCCTACAGGGAACTCCAGAAAGTTGGAATATGGTTTCATGGTAGGATACCCTTTAATTTACCATAGAAGGGGTTGCGATAATCATATTCCAACTTTCTGGCTTCTACTATAATTCAAACCCCAGGCATACGAAGCCTAGAAATCAAATCCCGAACTCCATCAACTACCTACTTAGAGGTTCATGGGTAGTTATTTATAAAGTGGGGTTATAAAGTAGGATAACTATATACTTATAACTCATATTCGGGGACTGATTTCCCTACTTATAACTACCCAGGCCCCCCAAAGTTGCTAAAATAATAGCCCAAAGCTTACAAAAGGCTATGATTCTACATCCTTCTGGGGTCCAGGTAGTATCAAACCCCCATGGAACGGTGCTGCACACTGTGTCGCGCAATACCTTTACCTAGACCCGATACTTCCAACACTTCGAACATGCTCAAAGCCTCAAACCTGCACTCAAAGCCGTACACCTTAGAAGCTGCCCCCCACCCTGTAATAGTGGTATAATAGGAATATAATAGGTCCCTAATATAATATTAATATAATCCTTATGGTCACTATTACAGGGTGGGGGCAGCTTCTAACGTACACCCTAAGTCCTAAACTACCAAACCCTGCAGCGCACCCCGCTCCGGAAAAAAAATGCAGAGACAAGGCCTAAAACAAGAGTTTAGGGTCTAGAGTTCGGGGGTGAAACATGCCCCCCCAAGCGAGATGTTTTCAGGACTTGGGATTGACCCTAAACCCGAAACCACTAAATCCTTATTTACAGTATAAGCCCGGAACCCTATAACCCTAAACCCAATAACCCTAAACTTTACCCTATAACCCCACACCCTTAACCCTATAACTCTACCACGCAGCCTGGATCGTCTGCGACAACTTCGCCGAGTTCCTCCGCTGGAGCGCTCGAAGGCTTAGCGACTACTAGCCTCATCCTTGTTAGGGTGAAGGTTCAGGGAGTTAGGGAATCAGGATTTGGGGGCTTGTGGTTTATCGTTTACGGTTTAGGGCTTTATGGCTTAGGGTGGGCTGCGGTCTGAAAAGGACGGCGTTGGGCCCAGGATTTTTGTTTAAATCTAGAGGTCTTCAGGGTTTGGGGCTGGTTGATGTTGTGCTGCTACCCTCTGTTGCACGGTATACCCTACATATCCATGTAGCTCCGCATTGGCATGCAGGTTTGAGTTCAGGGCATGGGGCTTGGAGGGCTCAGTGTGACAGTGAAGGCAAAATGCTTACTTAGGGTACTTGGAGGTTCATGGGTAGTTATAAGTAGGGCTATAATTAGGGTAACTATGCTTATAACCCTAGTTGCGGGACCTGTAACCCTACTTATAACTACCCCTGAACCTCCAAGTGGTATCTGAGATTTGGGTTGGAGCAGGCTCAGAGGGCAAGCAAAGCCAAAGGGGTGTGGGCGTTACTGCTGTATGAAATGGCACTGACCAGGGTAAATCAGGCTTGGGCTAGTGGGTGACAACATGCTTAGCTACGACTTACATTATGGCACTGCATGGTTTGAGGGTTGATGATATTCGGGGTCGTCGGGGTTTAGGGTGTAGGCTTAGGGGTGCATCTCGCATGTGCCAGCTTTTCGCTTCTTGACCACCGAATTCTCCGCCACTTCTTCTTTGTCAGGTTTGGAGCTTTTAAAGAGCACGACAGCCAAATCCCAGTACCCCCCCCCTCAACCCGAAGACCCTAATGGTAGGGAGGGGCCTTCATTATTAGAATAGGGTTTTGGGGCACGGTATACTGTAGTTATAATAAGGGACCCTCAAAGATGGTATTGGTAACGATTTAGACCCTATATTACCCCCCAAACCCTAAAGCGCTGAATATCTCATTCGCTGCTTGCAGTTCGCGGGTTTGAATTCAACTCTCAACCCCAAACACGGACCACACCATTAGGGAACCCGGAAGACTGGGGTTGTCAACTCTACCGTTCTGCGAGTTGAACCTACGTGATGGACATTCTCACACAAGCTTCATCCTTTCCGATAAGGATTTAGAGTTCGAAGTGTGAGTTTCAGAGAACCAGAGACACTGATTATGTTCATCATTATGGATCCTGGCCTTAGCATAGAGATCCTTGTCTCAAGTAGGATAGGGGCCAAAACAAGTAATTGGGTATAGTTCCTACAAGGAACCCCGAGGAATAACATTGGCAATGATCTAAGCTTCTACACTACCCCTGACCTCAAGGTACCCCATCTCTCTCAACAACTGCACCACGGCTCAGATCTGTGCTGACGTCGAAGATGCTCAGCTCTTTCGACGTGCCTTTGCACCTCTGTAGGATCTCTCTCAAAACCCCAAACTCAAAGAAGCAAACCCAAAATCCCCAAACCCCTAAGCCCCTATGTAAACCTCAAAGACTAAACCCCCCTCCCCCCCAAGAAAAGAACAAAACAACAACAAACTAAAACCCTGACAGTATAATCTCGGCCCGGAGCTCACGAAGCCGACGCTCCCACTCCAAAACTTCCCAAAATACGAAATCTCTAACTTTCTAAACCCATAAGGAACCTTAGGGGGGGTAACGGGGCAGGGGGGTAGGGGACCATACTTCCTCAAATCTTATGCTAAGCCCCTGAACGATGCCAGAAAACCCGGCGAGCCCCGACCGAATAAAAGGCGTGGGTAGGAGTTTGGAAGGTTTAGACTCTATGGGATTTTTCGCTTGAGGGTTTAAGGCTTAGTTTAAGGCTCGGTTTGGGCTTATGTTTTTTTTTTGGGGGGGGCTTGGGGTTGCAGTCTTCATACGGAAGTTAGTATTCAGCTCAGCTCCCACCGATGAAAGCTTGAGGTGTCAAGGGAGATTCGGAACGCCTGAGGGCAGCTCGAAAACATGAAACCTGAACAATCTAGGACTCTAGGATTTAGGGTTTGGGGTAGCAACTGTTGACTCTCAAAATGCCTCAATACTTGCTGATGGAGACTGGCCTACGAATTAGATGTCAGCATGTCGGCTATCACAGAAAAACCCATCTAAACCCTGATGAGAAGGCGCTTCTTGCACAGGTCTTCCAGCTTTGGATCCATGGACAGGATGCCAAAAGTCCCCACATCGAACCTGGATTCACGCTACGAAGCCTTAGAACGTTTGGCTCGCTTAGGGTTTTAAGACTTACAGTGGGCCTCTACTCACTTGCATTGCTTTGTAGCTCAGGGTTTAGCGCATTCACCATTTACACGGAGTTTAGCACTGAAGTAGGGTTCGGTCGTCAGGGGTTCGAGGCCGTAGAGTAGTCTGCACTCCCAAGACTGGCTTAGGCCTGTTGGTGCTGCGGGTGCGAATTCGTTCCACGAGCGTGCTCACTACGACCAAGAACTAGCGGGAGCCTCGTAACCTGAACCAAGATCGCACGATGTTGAAATTGCTCCTGCTGTTCTGCACTTTCGTAATGTTTAACAGTTCCTCCATTCGCGCTGCAGTCATCAGCAACGTCCCAGAAGTCAGCACAACCAAGCTGCAATCAGGATGAACAGATAGACTGGGATTAGGGTGTGGCTTTGGGTTTAGGGTCTAGGGTTTAGGATTTAGGGTGCAGAGTGTAAGGTTCAGGGCATGCACAGCAGAAGCCTCACAGCACGCGCAAGGCTCAACTTCTGAACCCTATAAACCCTGAGCCCCAAAACTAAAACCCTCAACCCTAAAGTCTTGAGATCCAAACCCCTGCCTCCCCTGAACCTCGAAGTCTACCACTGCAATTTGGAGTTGGGCCCCAAAAGACCATCCCTCCTATAGCCTTGTAAACCATACTGGTAGTATATAAGTACTGTCCGGGAAAGAAAAAAGTGTCATACATAATCAAAGCCCAAACCCTAAAACTCTGAATCCCTAAGGCCTAAACATACCTTGAACGTCTAGAACCAGCGTTCGAAATTAGGATTTATCGCACGAATCTACAAAGCAAGTAGGTCATGGTAGCTGAAAGTGATGTAGAGGCCTGAACAGTTTGACTAGGGTGTTGGGGTAGAATATACTTTTATGATAACTGCAATAAGGAACCCCCGAACATAGTATTGGTCACTATTTACTAGGATGCCCAGTAACCCAGGAATAAAAAGGGCTCCCTTTTTGGTATTGGATAACAAAAAAGGAAGATGACCGCTCCAGGTAGCAGGAGCCACATTCGCTCGCTGTCCTTTTTCCCCGAGTTGCGGTCCCGCTTGCCTTCTGGAAGCAGGGTCGCGGCAGTCTAGAGTCTAGGGTTAACTACTACACTACTACTACTACTACTACTACTACTACTACTACTACTACTACTACTACTACTACTACTACTACTACTACTGCTAGTACTACCACTGCTGCTACTACTACTACTACTACGACTACGACTACGACTACGACTACGACTACGACGACGACGACGACGACTGCGACTGCGACTGCGACTGCGACTACTACTACTACTACTACTACTACTACTACTACTACTACTACTACTACTACTACTACAAGTTTCCCATCAACACTATTTTTGTGGGTTTCCATAAGGATGGACCTCAAGATTAGAAAAGGAGTTTGGCAGTTTTTAGCGGGCTTCCAGTCAGGGTTCTCTGCGTGGATTTAGGGGCGAGGGTGAGCTCCGGCTTCTCTATGGGTTTACCTAGAGGCTCCATAGTAGTTCCTTTTGGGGGTTCGTATTTAGAACCCTATAAGGTAATCCTTTGGGTAGACTCCAGGGTTGGTTAGGGGTTCTTAGCGGCAAACCTCCCTACTCCTCGTGCAGTGTATTTGGAGCGCTCTGAAGAACCGCTAAACTCAAACCCTAAACCGCGAAATCCAAGTCATGCCTAAGCCCTGAAACCCTCAACTCTCCACCTAAAATCTCTAATGCCATCTCTGTATTCAAACCTGCAGCTGCAGCCATGTTTTTCAGTGCCAGCCTTCTTTGTGTTCCTTCTGATCCTCAGGTGGGACGGGAGGACAAATCGTGAACACCGGTATATCGCCCCAAAACCACTCCCAACTCAGGGTGGGGTCGACTGAAGAGACTGAAAAGGCCGCGGGCCTTAGCAACTCGGATTATAGATCATGTAACTAATCGAGCCAGAACATGAACCCAACCCCGATTCAGGGTACTGATTTACAACCTTGCCTAGCTGTCACGTCCCCAAACTTGAGATCTCATAGACGCCTGTTTTTTTAGGGAAAGTCGTGCTTAAAACACCCAAAAATCTGTAAACCCTTCGTCAGTTAAAACAACCCATGTGTTCGTGTGTGATCAACATGATGATTTCAGGCAACAACCTTTTCTCTCCGAGTCTCCCCTGTAGATATGCCGGCTATTGGCCGGGTATGTTGGTCGTGCGGGAACCTTAACCGAATTATAATTATTCTGGTAACAACAAAACAGCGATGGACACCATGCCAAAAATGCCGAACGAAAACAAAGATGATCATCATAGAAACAATATATGATGGTATTTGAAACGCGGTTTGGGTGAGTCTGTCATAGAAGAACCAGACAAGCGCATGAATGACGAAAGCAAGGCTTTCGAGACTTTTCCCATGAACACTAAACCCTAAACCGTATAAAGCCTAAGCCCGGATATTATAGTGCTTTTAACAGCCAACCCGGGCACTGGCGGGCCTGTTTTGTTTTTTTGTAGGGCCCCCCTAAGAAACCTACATGAGGGTTTAAAACACGAACCTACAGAAAAAAAAAGCTTATGGGAGGCTAGAGTATTCTGATGCAGGGTAACCGGGAAGTTGTCGAGCCTCCTGCAGTTCGCGAACTTGTCTGCTGTCGGTGGGGACTACAGTTACAGAAGCTCACGAAACATGTGTGCATCTCGTACATCTTGTAACAAGCTGCTTACGACGAAAATTCTACATCTTTTACGCGGTGGATGACTGAATCTCTACATTCCCGGATTAACCCTTGGAAGCCATATGACCGTGGGAAACGCCACAAACCCCTGTTAAACACCATGACATGCTCTATAAACCCCGAAACCTTCGCCCAGGTTCAGCAACGTCAGCGGCGGAGCTGGGAACGCCGTAGACGGGAAGCTGATCCTTCGCTTGGCAGCGGATGGGTTTGGTAGGTTTTGAGTTTTGGGCTCGGGTTCAGGGCTCAGGGTTTAGAGTCCTGGGCTTACCTGGACTCTGAAGAACCTGGCTTTGAACAAGCTGCTTGTTACAGGGTTCCTTACTATGATTTCTTGATATATACCCCTAAGAACGTAGGGTATTCAGGGTTAAGGGGTTTAGGGTTGTACGGCTTGTAGTGTTGAGGGCTCACGGCGTTTATGCTGCTTTTGAAAGTGCTTCGGAGCTTTTCCAGCATCCCCACGTCGGCCGCACTCTTGTTAAGTGTGCGGTGTAACCCTACGGGTTTAAAATTTAGGGTTTCCCAAATAGCATATACATTATTGGGCCCTATATGTACCTGTATGGGGAGTTCTATTAACGGCAAGGCATAATTTTACTATCTGGGAACATGGACCCTTAGGCTAAACGAAGCCTTGAAGAACCAAGCCACCCCATGCAAACTCAAGGTCATTGCACCCATCATCTGCATCAACTTCATCTATGCTTAAAGTTTAGGGCTTAGGGCATTGCGCGGAAAGCTTCGGCAGGGTTTTGCTATAGGGGTCGGAAGGGTCTAGGCTTTCGGATTCACGGGTGTAGGGAATCGGAGACCGGATACCGGAATACAGTAGAAGCCAGAAAGTTGGAATATCATTATCGTAACCCCTTTGAGGTAAATTATAGGGGATCCTAGCATTAATCCATATTCCAACTTTCTGGAGTTCCCTTTACTGTCTTGAGGACTCGGCGGTCTCGGCTGCTCAGGGCTTGGGCTTGCAACTTGCAACATCGCCTTATGCTAGGCTTCTCAGTAACCAGGGAGGAAAAAGTGTAAACTTGTATTTCATAATGATTCCTTCAAAAAAGAAAATATTCAAGTATGGTACTCCAAAGCCCAGTGTTTCGCCTCCTCGCCGTTGAGGTTGAAGTGGCTTAAGTCTCGACACGAAATCTTTGCCGGAGGCCCTTCCGCCCAGAAGCCCTGTTGACGCGCCAGGAACAGAATCTTTCATACACCCCTAAATTTGCTACAACATATTATAAGGAGAAAGAAACATGGAATCTCCCCGTAACGCCGTCCCCAAATCTGACCCTTCAAAGGCCACCGAAAGTCGCGCTTGACATGCACAGGAACAGAAACCCTCTTTCTGTTTAAACCCCGTAATCCTAAACCCTGAACCCTAGAGCCTTGTATATCAGAACCCGCTACTAAACCCTAATGTAGGATCCTGATTGAGAAACCTTGGGTCCTTCTTCGAGTTCCATATATGACTCCTAATATATCGGCGGTTATAGGGCCGGCGCCTCTTAATCAGGTTCCCACATTGCATACCCTATAAGCCCCAGCCAGTGATGATGGATCGAAGAGGCCGGAGCAGCATCATGGAGGTCTTGAAACTCGCGCACGCCAATCAGTCCTCTGGTCTTCTTAGTCTTGCAATTCTGGGGTTTAGGGGTTTAAGTGTAGCCGAAATGGTCCACCTTTTTAAGGTTCCTTATTATGGTTTCTATATATAGTTCCTGAAAAAGGTAGGTCTTTTCGGCTACAGGTAAGGTTTAGGGTTCAGTCGTTCTGGTCGAGCAGTATCTAGTAGAGTTCGCTATATGGAACATGGAATGGAATCCCACCCACCCAGAGAATCCCAAAACATTCAGAAATACATGGTTTCATCATTACCTTGAGCTTAGTTCAACACTGCCGGGAAATTCCCATAGCATTGGTCCGGGTTGCCGGGAAATTCCCATAGCATTGGTACCATTTGGGCCTGTTTGCCGAAAAATCCCATAGCATCGGTTTGGTTTGCAGGGAAATTCCCATAGCATCGGGGGGTAAGTGCCGGAAAACTCCCTCAGGGTTTAAACATACGATTGAAAGAGAGCGTTTAAGGTTTAGGGAGATTGTATCAGAAAGCCAAGATTCACTATGTAGGGTTTAGCAGTTTGCAAGCTTTAGGGCGCATTGGAATGTGACATGCTCGTTAAATGATCTTCAGAGACGCTGCAACTCTAAACCATGTTCGATTCCGATCCCTGCCAGACACCATGCACAAGGTGGCAGGTAGCTGTGGCCTCGTGTGCTGTTGCTCTTGGCAAGGCCACGCCCGAAGACAGATGTGTGGTCTGAAATCTCTCCCTACAAGGCCCATGTCGTCACCCATATACACCCCCTTTAAAGGCCCGAGTATATACTATGTGGATACATGGAGTCTTAGGGTCTCTTCTACAGTTGAGGCACTTTACGGTTTCAAGGTTCCCTAAGGGTGCATGTACTTAATAATCGTATACTGCCCAACCCGCAAAGCTATAGAACTACCATCCTTCACCCAAGTCCCTGATTATTGGGTACTTTGGACGCTTAGGGGTTTTGGCTTAAGATAAACTCTGTCTTTTTTAGTTCTGGGTGGGCCTTTTGAATCATTCAAGACTCTGCGCAGTGTTCTCGAATAGGAAAGGTTCAACACCCCTGAAGCCGCAAGCCAATAACCTCAAGCCGCTTGGGCCTCTAGGCCTTTTCAACCAAGCCCAGAAATTAGTCAGACCGTCCCTGTGTTGGCCCTTTCTATATCTATACATATACATATACATATATATATATATATGGGGGGGGGAGTTTCCGAAAATTAGGGGTATGCTGTTGACCGTAGAACTCGAGCTACTGCAACACGGCAGTTTTAGGTCTCTTCGAAAACCCGAAACCCCAAAACCCTAGTTTTACCGTTCAAGGAGCTAGAGCTCTCGGAAAGACTCTCAAGCCAAAACCCGAGATACTCAATGCTAAAGCCCGATCCCTAAACCAACAGAAACCCAAACCTAGACCCTAAACCCCCAACTCTAAACCACTCAATCCTAAAGGGCTCTAGATCCAAAACCCGAAACCACTGAATCCTATTATAGAGGGCCCTAAACCCAAAAAACCCAAACCCCTGAATCCTAAAGGGCCCTAAACCCAGAAACCCTAGATTAGGGAGTCGACTGGTCCAAAAGCCACCGAGCGTCTGTGGGTCTCTTTGTCTGCCGTCAGAAACTGGATGTGGAGTAACCTCTTTTCGGTCGTGTGGGCTTATGGACATTGGGTAATCGTTATAGGGTTAGTGACATAGAAGGGGTACCAGTTTACTATTGTCACCTGGCCGGTGGGGACAGGGATGGTGGGGATTAGGGTTTGCGGGGCTTCGGTCTGGCGTGACTAGAGGTTGAGTGTTGAGGGTTTACTTGAAGTGTATCTAGATATATCTCACATGTCATGCTAGTTTTCGAGGTCGACGCTTCGACACGATTACCACGATTCCTGCTGTTGCTGCTGCAATCACGTCACCTCTTCTGATACAGCAGGCTTTCGATGCCAGCTAGTTTGGTTGCACGGACAGCACCATGGCTGCTGTAGGCACTCTTGCCGCGGCGATAGCTGCATGCGCGTTTTCTGGTGATGCCAGATATATCGGCGTTACGCCATATGGCAGGTTTTAGGGATTGCGGGGTTTCGGGGGTTGGGGGCGTCGACCAAATACACAGGTTCTAATGCTGGAACCGGTACTGTAGCCCAAAGCCCTTGCACCGAGAAAGCAAAAGGATTTGAACTTAAGTTCAACGTTCTGAATGCTCGTGAATTCTAGGCTTTCTGTTTCAGTGTTTAATTTGAGATTAGGCAAATACCTGCACCTTCCATCCCACATCAGCCCTATCCCGTAAAACCGCCCTAACCCCTAAAAACCCCTAACCCCTACAAACTCAAAACCTAAAACCCTAACCGCTATACTCCGCTACTCCCTGAATCCTACCCCCAAAGCCCCTAAAGCCTAACCCCTGAACCCCTAACACCAAAATCCTAACCCCTACAAAACGTCATCCCTCGCAACCCCTAAGAATCCCCAAAATCCTGACCCCCTAAACCATCCCAAACCCGAACCACCCCAAACCCTAACCCCCAAAATTCCAACCCTACACACACTCCCCAAATCCATCCAAATCCTATACCCAAAGGCTCCAAAGTAGTTCCTTTTTTGGGATTACCTTGTAGGATTCCAAATACGAACCCCAAAAAGGAACTACTATGGAGCCTCTAGGTAAACCCTAAACCCCCGAAGTTCGCGGCGAGAAGCTCAACCTTGACGCTGCTGCCAACGCTGTCCAGCAGCCGCGCATTCAGCGCTTGCCTCAGCTCGGGAGCTCGATTCCGGGAAGCTCTTGGCGTTTTCTTGGCGTTTGGGGTTCCGGGTTTGGGTATAGGAGTTAGGATGATTGAGGGTTCAAGTTTCAGGGTTTAGGGATAGGAAGTATAGGCTTTGGGATTCAGGGAGTTTTAGCTCGAACCGTCTTAGGTCATGCTAATAGGTGCGATCATTCCAGGACAAGCCTCTTTGTCGAGTCTTGAATAGAAAGTCTTTACGAGCTGGGTGCAGAGCCGACAGGCCTTCAGGCTATACTAAACCCCCATAATACCCCTGATGGAAACCATTATAGGCCTTTGAAGGGCTCCTTATTATAATTATGGTATAGTATACCCCTGATAAAAAAAACGGGGATACCATTCTTGTGACCCACACGGTCTAAGGCAAAGGTTCTATCAGTTTTATCCTTCGTTCTTAAACCTCAGGTCCGTGGAGATGTCGGGCTTGCCTGCAGATCAGCACTTTGCCCATAAATTCGCATTCCTCCTGACTGGAACCAGAACTCCAGAGTCTGCTGCCTGATAGCCGATGGATTAGATAGCAGCATGGCAGTACACCGAAATCACCAGAAGCCCGTGCAGAAGTTGCGAGACCCTCGTCCGTGACCATAATGACACCAAAGGCACGTGTGCGAGGATCCGTGGTTGACAGCAGAGAAGCATTCATGCAGATGATCCCGATCATCGGCACAGAAGAGCCTGAGAAGTCACTGACAATCAAGAAAATCATGACAACTGTTGTTCAAATTGACAAGATACACATGGGTGGTTGTCAAATTATGGTCCCTTTTTGGGTCCCTATTATAATACGGCACCTATTATTTAGGGTACCCAAAAAGGGACCCTAATTTTGACAACCACCCACACGGAGTACGGTCTTGGTCACTACACAAAGCCCTGGCCTGAACCCTGAAGATACTGAAGCTTGAACCCTAAACCTTCAACGTGAAAGAACCACATGGGAGTTTCCCAAAGTTAGGGTACCTTATTTGGGGTCCTCATAACAAGGATCCTACTATTTGGGTACTATATTAGGGAAAACTCCCATATGCTAGAATCAAACAACATCTAGGAATCATTCCTTACAAAACCATCCGAATCCAAAGCCTTTGTACAACCCTAGAAAGCCCTTTATGCAACTTTAAGACTCCTTGTTACTTGTACATTTTCCTAGGTGAACTGAAGGTTGACCTTTGGGATATTATCGGGATAATGATACTTGGAGGTTCATGGGTAGTTCTAAGTGCGATTATAAGTAGGGTAACTATACTTATAACTCATATTCGGGGACTTATAACCCTACTTATAACTACCCATGAACCTCCAAGTACTCCCCACAAAAGTTTAAGGGCACACCTACCCAACTGCTAAGATTCAGAGACCAGTAGCTCCAAGAAGGGCTTCTCGCCGAGGCAGCCCACAGTGGTGGAACACTCACCTTGCTGGATGCTGTCGGATTTACTATTAGGGCCTGACCACTTACGAATAGGGTTGGGGGGGAACTGTTATAGTACAGTTAAGATAAGGAACCAGTGCTGGTTATCTTTGCTTCCATCTTTCATAGAGCTTTGATAGGGCTTACTGGGGGTGTGGGTTTGAGGGTTAACTCGAGCCTCGGGGTCGGGGCCATGTATTCGGGCTTTCTGCCGTGTTCATAATGGAAAAAACACCACAAACCTAAGAAACCTTCAAACCTTCAGCACCCTAAACGCGCTTGAGATAGCGTGCTCACAACCCGCACATCCTATAAAGCCCGTATACGTAGAAATTACAACCCTAAACCCTAAACCCTAAACCCTAAACCATTACAACGCTTGCAGCTTCTGAGGGAAGCCGGGGTGCGGAGGAGCATTGTCGACAGCTGCCGCGAGTCACCAACGATATTCAGGTGATTGTCCTGAGTTACGCTGAAGGTCCAAGTGTGCAATAACCCCACTACTTAGTCATGCCGGGTGCTATCAGGATTCTATAAGGGTTCTTTGAGGGTTCTGTAGCGTCTTAGCGGGTTCGACCACTGTTTCCGCTTCCTTCAAGTGGCTAATCTGCTTCCTCTTCGTAGGGTCCTGAAGCTTAGCCAACCCTGAACTCTGGACCCTAACTATTTCGGGCTATACATAACCTAGATTTAGTTCTATACTAGAGATTGACTGCGCAGAGACGCTATTACCATTACCATTCTGTCGACCGCTACGGTAACAGGCCCTCCCTGCAGGCCCTGTAACGTTTGATGTTAGAGCCCCGGAGCCGGATTGGTAGAAGCCGAAACCATCGCCACAGAATCACAAGCCCTCACCCTGGCACCCTCAACTCCGAAACCCAAACCTGACTGAATGCGGTAACCTTAGACCTCAAACCACTGGGCGATAGACCCCCCAGGGTTTAGGTTCTTGATTCTTGAATTATGGGCTCTCTTCCAACTGCAGGTACGGGGTTTTGGGCTTAAGTTTAAGGGATTATTTATAGGGTCTACGGCAAGCGTCGACTTCCACGACTGCATCGCAGAAGCCACGCAGCAGAGAGGTGACTGCCTCCAGTTCGATGGTCCGCGTCTTCAAATCCAGGCCAGACCTGCTCTTTTTGGTATAATGTAGGAACCTGATTAAGAAACCTTGGGGCCTTATTAGGGTTCTTGAAACGGATCCTAGTATATTGGGGGTAAAGGGCCAGGGTTTCTTAATTGGGCTCCTACATTACGGTGTGCGGTTTTGGCATTCACGAGGTGAAGGCTCGAATCTATGTGTGTGTATATATATATACATGTATATAGATGTGTGTGTACATATATATATATATATATATATATATATATATGTATACATATATATATATATACATATTATATTGAGCGGTTTAGGGTTTAGTTGCGCCGGGGAAGGGGGTGAGGGGGCGCGAAATGCTAGGGGGTTGCTTCCAATCATGACTCCTGGGTCCTGGGAGGTCCTGGTGGCTCAAGTTGGAGATTCATAGGTAGTTATAAGTGGGTTGAGAAGCAGGGTAACTATACTTACAACTCATTTTAGGGGACTTATAACCCTACTTATTACTACCCTTGGAGGTAGGCTTAATTAACATTTGTGACACAGGGTAACTCTAAACCCGAAACCTTTCGAGACGAAGTGACAGCACTTACATTAAGGAGTACCCACTGGGCCTGCGGCAGCTGCTGGTGTCCTCCATCTACAAGTAGAAGCCCGCTCGACTGCGCAATGGGTATCTATACTAAACCTACACAGGGTCTCAATAAGCTGAAGTTCCGAGGGAGCTGGACTTATGTAGCCAAGCGGAAAAACTCGTAGAGAGTTTTTTTGCCAGCCCCGCAATCCCTCCAATGTCACCCAACATATGCATGCCAACGGCGGTAAAGCAGTGTTACCGCAATCCTGAACCCTAAACCCCAAGCCCCGAAACCCCACAGTGCAGCCTGACCCCCAACCCTTAGCTAGAACCCCGTCCTAAACCCCAAACCCAGAGGCCTAAGGACTAAACCCTAAGTGTCACCTGGCGTCTCGGTAAGCCAGCTGGCGGACGGAGAAAACACCTCGTGAAAAAATCACTTAGCAGGACTACAGCTTTGCAGTCGGCCAGGACCCCCCAAGGGCCCTTTACTAGAGTCCTGATGGCACTTAGTAGTGGGTATTTGGGGTATATCATATAGAGGGTAATTGGCGGGTCTAGGGGGGGGATCTGGGGCTTGGGCTTTAGGTGCTCTGCCGGACTGCGGATGGTTGTAGGATAAAAGCTCGACTATGCGCTTCCTGGTGTAAATACTCCAAAGCATATCAGTTTAGGATTTAGGGCTTGTCGGGTTTTAGGGTGTAGGGTTTTGGGGTGTTAGGGTGGAACTCGAAAGCCTGAAATTTCTGCGTCCCGTCGTCCCCGAAGCGGTTCGGCCCCCAAGCCGTAGAAACCCAAGTCCTTGACCCTGAAACCCCAACCCTACCCTGAGCATCGAATATTGGTTTCAGTCAATACAAACCGTAAATTGTGGATTGATTTTGATTTTGGCTTTTTCGATCTGTATACAGCCCTCCACCAGCCCGAAATCGAACACCCCTCTGCACCCGAAGACCCAAAGCCTCGTCAAGTGTTTGAGCCCTCAAAGTCACGGTCCAACCCTAGATGTAGGGACTCAGGGTTTCAGTAACTTTTGACGGTTACTTGGAGGTTCATGGGTGGCTATAGGTGGATGAGAGGTAGGGTAACTATACTTATATCTCATTTTAGGGGACATATAACTTAGAACCCTACTTATAACCAGCCATGAACCTCCAAGTATGGGATGTTACGCGCGAGTTCTGCGCTTGCGGGTGTAATCTTTCGGGTCAAGACTTTGAGGATCAGGGTGGCTGTCCGTTTCCCTTTCTGTTTGTCATGGCTTCAAATCTCTCCTGCAAGAGACGACCTGATGCATGAGCAGACAAGGAGCAAAGCAGCAGGAAGCTCAGCTTTGTGATCTCCGCAGAGAACCTCCAGTGCAAGTCATACAGCCCACAATGTCACAAACCCCAACATCCACTTGAGAGAACAGAGCGGGAAGCCGTTGAGAACCCAACCTCTTATGCGCAACCTACCTAACTATAGACCAAGATGTTGCTGGAGATCGGAAGGCCCCGGGGATTTCTTTTGCCAGACTTCTCCCTAAGCTTGAAATTTCAACCCTAAAAGAAGCCTGAATTTGTTGACGCGGGGTTCTTTACCATTGTTGTACGCCACAAGACAACGCATGTAGAGCTGTTTGGAGCCCCCGATGGAACCAAAACCCAACACAGGCTCTTATGAGGGACTCCACCAAAGCACCTAAAGAAGAAAGACACGGTTGGGATATCCCACCCCACCGCAAAGTTTATGTTTGGCTGTTTTTTTTTTGGTACCGTGTCTCACCTGCGGCAGTTCTGGGGCCTGTGGGTTTCTAGCTGGGGACGATTTGGGGTTTGGGGCTTGGGGGTTTGGTTTGGGGTTTAGGGTTTGGGGTTTAGTTTAGGTTTCTGAGATTCTTAGAGAGGGAAACCTGAAAATTCAAGGTACCAAAGTCATTTGGGCTAATGGCCTCGCGGAGGATCCTCATTGAAGGACATGCCGAGTGGAACGGGTATTTTCAACAAAAGCCCACATAGGTACTTATCTTTATAGATCCCTTAAAAGGAACCCGAATAGAGCCCTTAAAGGAACCCTAAAGTACCCGAATAGAGCCCTTAAAGGAACCCTAAAGTACCCGAATAGAGCCCTTAAAGGAACCCTAAAGTATCCTTATAGATCCCTTAAAAGGAACCCTAAAGTACCAGAAAAGAGCCCTTAAAGGAACCCTCAACCCAATTCGGCCCCTGACTTGACATCCCTAAACCCTAAGCCCCTAAACCCTAAACCCCTTAACCCTAAAACCCTAAACCCTAAAACCCTAAACCCTAAAGCCCAGTCCCTAGAGATTCCGGATGTGGGGTTGGCCAGTCAGCTCGGCAAGGAGCAGTGCGCTTTCGGTTTGAAAGCCGAGGATGCGCATGACCAACACAGAGCAAACAGCATTCCTTGCTAGGGATGGAGTATAGGGTGATATGTTCGGGGCTTAGACCCTAAACCCTGACGCACTGCATGCTTCGGCCTTCCTGACACTCTATGTATAGTGTCTTTTTCACAAAGACACCTTTCTGAGAGTGCTTTCCCACTATTGCCTTGGCTATACAAAATCGTGTGGATGCAGGAGGTTGCAGCTTACAGACTCTTCATCGACCGAAATCATGTGGGGTATAAGCATCATGTCCCAACGGTTGTGTTGTGGCTTCTGTTATATGCAACCGCGCCTGTACCGACAAGAAAACACTATTTCGCCCGAAACCCTACACCCCTGACAACAAAACTCTGCGTGCTCCTCGTTCGTGAACGAGCGTCAGGTTGCGGGTAGCAGCAGCCTTTCGAACTTAGCCCTAAACCTAGCGTTCCCAGCCGCTGCAAAATCTACAGCCCTGCCTGAAAGCCCAAATGATCGAAAGCACCTTTGCAACCACGAGTAACCCCAAGGGCCCACGTGCTTTGCAGTATGTAACTGTATTACATATATATATATATATATATATATGTATGTATAATGTATGTATAAACATAATGTGCGTGTGTATGTGTGTATGTGTGTGTATGTATGTATGTATGTAATTATGCATGCGAGTATGTATGTTTACAGTTACATATATATATATATATATATACATATATATATATATATATATATATATATATATATGTATAGAGGTATAAATACATGTATGTGTATCTATATATATATATATATATATATATACAGAGAAAGGAATACGAACAAATACTGTGGCCAGACAAATCTAAAGTGATGCTGTGATATTACGGGTAAACTGCAGACTATCTCTAATTGGTCCGTCGGTGCTGGATCTCGTGAGAGCGACAGTTTCGCAGGGCTAAGCTCCGTGATGCCTTAACCGAAGGCCCTTATAAGGCTCTAAGGCAGAATGATACGGTGATGCGTTTGAAATACTGTGGGACCATATGAGTTTCCGAAAGTAGGAGTATCTTTTAAGATCCTTGTAATAAGGATCCTACAATTTAGGGTACTAGTTTAGGGTCCCCTATTTTCCGAAACTCCCATACTATTGATTATGCGACACAAACTTTCAACACACATACAAACATGCACAGAGACACAATGGATCACTCATATGGTCACTAATTCCCATGTCTTCCTAGACTTCACTTCAGGTTGGCCAAAGAAACTGCTTTATGAAAGCCATGAAAGTGTAGGTACGTCGAGGGGGGGGGAGCAGCAAACATGCTTAGGAACGCCTAATGATGGGAGTCAAGCCGCCCCAGCAGTGCCAACCAGCCGCGCTTTACTGCGAGGCCGAGCAGCACACGGAGAACGAAGGTCCAGTTGGACCTGGGAGTGTGGGCTTCGAGCTTTAACACCACTTTGAGAGGTACATTAGGATTTAGGGTTTAGGGTTATAGGGTATGGTATATGAAGTCTATAATAGAATTCAGGCGTGTCTTGAATCTGAACGTGCGTTTTCGATCAGAAGCCTTGCGCCCAATTGCCAGCATAGGAGTTCGAGCTTCGGTCAAGTGTGGCTTAGGAATTGGGATTTGAGGGTCCATGTGCTGACATAGTAGCTAACTAGCAACTTTGAAATTTTTACCTTCCAGTACCTGTATTATATCGGAACCCGGTACGTCGACAGAACATAACCATGTAGTAAAGTACATCTGGCCCCCACTCAATAATAGTTGAATAATACTCATAATGTAGATATATTAGGACCTTGATAGTAGCCCTATTACAGACTCTCACTGTATGGGGGCAGTACCTAAAGTACATCTGACATGGCATACTGCTTTGGGCTTTCGAGATCTGGGCGAAGCGCCGCAAGACCCCCTAATCCTAAAAACTTAAGGCTAGGCCCCAAGCCATATACCCCCAAAAAAGCCAGACCCAGTCCGTCTGCCCCTGAACCCTAAACTCTCAATTCCGAAAAACAATAAGAGTCATAAACACAATGCCGCAACCCCTAAACCTATGAACCCAGCACAGCTTCGTTCGATTTCTTGCAGGGATGCTCTAGTGCATAAGGTTTATAGGGTATATGTGAAAGTGTCAGGATTTGGTGTCTAGGTTTTGCCGAAACATAACCTTCAAAACCTCGGGCTACTACATGCCCGAATCACACCGCCCGCTCGCACAGCTGAGCCGGGAGACAAAGTCACGACGTCCCTGGGACCGACATTCAGAAAAGCCAGAGCAAAGAGCGTCTGCAGAACCACATACCTTTGGCCAAGGCATTGGATATCTGTGTTCTTGAAAAGGAATTTAGCTCAAGTTACCATAATAATGAACTATAACATTTAATTACTATAGATCCCGAATGGCAACTTGAATTGAATTCCTTGACAAGAAGCCTGGTTTGTGGGATCAAGTACGAGTAGACATCTGAGGCCTGCGCTTGAGGTTCGGGTTGTAGGTCTTGTTGCGCAAACTTTTGGGCTGAGCCTGAACTGGTAAACCCAAACATCCTCCTGAACCACGATGCACGCTATGTGGAGTATGTCCACGAGAAAGATATGACTGCAGAGTTTTGGCATAGAAGCCGTATCGCCGAATCATCACATCCTCGACACTTGAAATGCAAACCCTAAACCTGAAATCGCTAAACCCGAAACCCTGGGATTCTATGGGGGCTTTGTTTATTGAGCCTTTCTTGTGTTTCATGGTATACACATGAAACCCCTCCAACCTGCACCTTGAGTCCGAGCAGCCCTAATGAATATAGGGGCTTGAATTCTTAGAAGAGGGTTTGGGGGTCTACTGCCGAATGTTTAAAACAGGACATCCGAAAGCCAAGGAACACAATTGGTAGTAGAAGAAGGTTTGGGGGTCTACTGCCGAATGTTTACAACAGGGCATCCCAAAGCCAAGGAACACAGTTCGTACTTGTCCAGGCTTCTAATACCCAACCCTAAACCCCTGAATCGAAAAGCAGTCGCAGCTGCCAGACGTCAAGACTTCGAGGCGTCACGAGCCTTGGCGAGTTCTGGACCGAGGCAATAGTTCAATATACAAACAAAACGACGAACAATGCTCAAGTCAAACATTAGGAAGAATCATTCAACTGCATGTAATGAAAACGATAATAACAGTAGGAATAAATGCACAATCATAGTAACTGGACCCCGAACGAGCTGAAGGTCACCCGCTCTACTAATTACCCCACAACAACAACAACTACTACTGCCACTACTACTGCTGCTGCTGCTACTACTACTACTACTACTACTACAACTACTACTCTACTAAGTCCAAGTCGTAGGTCACCGCCCAGGGACCTTAGACCTTAAACCCAATATGGGAGTTTCCGAAATTTTAGGAGTACTTTATTTTGGGTTCCTTTTTATCTGCATCCTACCATTTAGGGTACTATGATACGGCCCCCTGTTTTCGGAAACTCCCAATATGGTGAGGGAGAGCTGTGCTCGGGGAATTTGGCGGAGGAAACGATGGCAAGCCGTGGGAGTACCTTAAAGATTCTGGTCGTGCTACCCATTAGCCAGTACCCACACCTCAAACAATCAACTGCCATCCTCAAAACCCAAACGCTCAAAGCCTGGACCTTCCACTCCTTCACCCCCTGATTTCTGAACTTCTACCCAGAACCCACAAGCCGTCTCGACTCTGGACCCTGGAACAGAAACACTCCAGCTTCTCCCAAGCAGGCCTTGGGCAAGTTGTCAGGAAAAGCGCTATGAAGTGAACGAACACCTCCATGATTGAGGTTTGGGGATATAGGGCCCTAATTAATTGGAATTAATAGGGTTTTGGAACTCTTGTCTAAACATAACGTGAATAATTAATCTCTGTTATTCCGCACCCTAAGGAATACTGTTGGCTTTTTAAAACAGGCTTCTGCAACTAATAGAAGAGTGTCCTTCAGGATTTGAATTCCATATGCATTTGGGATGTGAGGTTTTGGGATTCGGGGTGTCTAAAAAAGAGGCCTTAATAATTAGAACAAGATTTTGGGGCCTGCCCCGCTCTGAACCCTAGGGCCTAAACTTTACAAGCCCCTGAATCCTGACACGAAAACAAACAACCAAGTAACATGCTGGAGCTTGGGAGAAATCACACCACTAAAGCCTAAAAACTCAGGTGAGACTCCAGTTAAAGTAGCTTAGGACCTAGGATTTCTCGCTCAGGACTAAGAAAAAAAAGGGTCGCCACTGAACTTACGCAACACAGCCCTGGATAGGCTGAAATTGCAAGACCTCAAGCCTCAGCCCTAAACCGTCTCCACTGAGCCCCAACGCCAAGTTCCCAAAGCTTCGAAGCACAACCTTAAACCGCAAGCCAAGCTGATCAAGGAAACCCCAAGCCCTAGGCATACAATATACCGATAAATACCGGTTAATATTCTCGAAAAGCAGCCCAAGGCCCGAAACTCCCAACTCCTCCCCCCGTGGGCAATGGTTGACATCTTGCACTGAGCATTAAACCCTGCCCGTCTGCCCCGAACTCGTGGAACCCTCAAGCCACAAGCCCAAACCAATCCCACCCCCCTTCATCATAAAACAAAACGTAACCCTAAAGCCTCACCGGATGTCGATCTCAACAGCCCCCAAAACTATTGCTGTTAGGGCTCTGTATTGAAACTATAAGGGAATCAAACACTCTCCCAAATCCACCTCTAGCCAATATTCGAAACCCGAAAGGACCGCTAATGAAGCCACCCCTGGCCCACCAGAGAGAGGTCCAGAGACGCAACCGGTGGGGGCTCCCCTGCAAGAAGATACCTGCAAAATGGTTGGAGAGAGAGGCCTGAATGTTCCGAACAGCCTGTTTACAGCTTTATCTTAAGGGGCTTGCAGGGGGCGTAAGAGCTGGAACAGGACTTTGGGGTGTATTGTAGCATGATTATCTAGGGACCAGAGAGGATTCTTATGGTATAATGACGGGGACAGGAACTGGGGGCTCAATGTCTCGGCTTTCGGGGTTTTGGGGTCATAATATTCGGGGCCTCAGGGAGGAACGTCCTCTTTGAGGGTGTACTTCCTGCTGATAAATCCTGAACCCTAAGTACACCTGACAGAACCCTCAAAGGAACCCAAGCCCAAACCCCAGACCTAAAGACTCAGAAGGCGTAAGCCCAATGACCAAAGCGCCCCTCAAAGTCGTTCATGGTTCTTGCGGTGCATGCGTGGGGTTCCCACTTGAGGTGGGCTAAGCTTATTCCGCTCTGAGTTCGCCAAACAATCCAGGAAAACTAAACCGTTAACCCTGGAGTAGTGTTATTGTCATTGTTGAGCAATGTCTCGGTCCCAAGATCATCTCTCGCGTGCTATGTAGGGTTACCGCTGCGACAATGCGGTAGTAAGCTGCAGACTGAGAGTCTCGTAGCTCCTATGTACTATAGGGGCTTTAATAATTAGAATAAGCATTTTGGTGCCCATTAATATGCTATGAATATAATAAGGAATTCCCAAAATATGGTTAATTATTTGAGCCCCTATGTAGTTCCCTCTCTCGGGGAATCAGTTGTGTCCATTGTGTGCTCTGCTGATGTTGCTGTCCGAGGAAGTCTCCAAGGTACCTCCTTTTCCAAGACAGCCAGCTTTATCTGTGGTTAGGATTATCTGACAGAGAAAAAACAGGTAACCAAACTCAAGCCCTACCCTAAACCCTAAACCCTAAAAACCAGGTAGCCAAATTCAAGTCGTACAGCGGAGACTAGACTTTAGGCACAACCAGTACATCGCTCTGCCAAGCTCGCGAGATAGGATTCCTTGAAGACGGTGCTAATGCAACCGCTGGCTTAAGAAAGGGGCCTTAATAATTAGGGTTTTGGGGTATATTCTACCAATCGAGATAAGGGACCCCCCTCCCCCAAACAAAAAAATAGTACAGGTAATGAGTAAGGGCCCTATATTATGAGCTCGAACCGCTGAACACCGCCAAAGCACATCTGAGCAAACACGAAGCGTGCTAGCGCCATGGCCATGATGACCTGTGAGGTGGTCTAACGGCTGTTTAACAGTTTACTGAGTTGTCCTTTCAGCCCTTTGAAAATTATTTACTATTGTGGTTCTCTACAAAATAGTAGGGGAAACTAAAAGAGATCCCAAATCACAACCCAGTTTAGGTAAAGATAAGGTTTTGGCTCACAGAGTGTAGTCTATAGCGGGGCAATTTGTGATAGGACATGCCTTTGCAAATACCGAAACATCTAGTATTGTGACGATGTCATACAGCGACTGTGGCGAAATGCCTGACGATGTTACGGTTGAGATCATGGATTGTGAGGGTGGACAGGTTTCCAACTGCGACGACAATGAAGGCGAGGTTAGATGACGGTGATGGCGTCAATGACGAAGACGATGGTGACAGTGATGGCAACAGCACCAAAAGGTAATGATCATAGAGATGGTGATGGCATTGATAAACCTGATAGTGATGACGACGATCGTGCCGCTGCCGCTGATGAAGATGGCCAGGATAGTCGCAGTGATCGCCGTCGCAACGAATAGGGCAGTTGCGAAGATGGCGATGATGATGGTGATGACAATGATGACGATGACATGGGTGCTAGAGATGGTCATAACAGTGATGACGACGACCACGACGATGCTGCTGATGATGACCAAACCTCTCATGCCTGCTTCACCTGCCAATGCTAGCAGCTAGCAATCAGGAGGTGAAGCTAAATCGTAAGGTTTAAAGTTGCTGCGGTGATGCCATGTTTGATGACTTTTGGGTGCTGTCCATGTTTGACCCAAGAACAATGACGCAACGGTTGCTACTGCTCTCAGCATTGTGCCTTCCAGACCGTACTTCCCGAACTCCGAGCCCCGGCAATGCAGGTTTACACCCCCAGCTCGAATCGGTTTAGGGTTTAGGGTTTAGGGGTTTCGGGCTCAACTCCTCCCTCAACCAAACCCTAACCCCTCCACTCGTCAACCCGCCCCCCCTACTTGGCTTTAGAGCCTTCGGATCTAGGGGTTAAACGATATGAACTACCGGGCCCCTTCTGCCATGCCTGCAGGGCGTAGATGAGCATTTGGCACTGCATGGCCTCACTCTATGGGATTTTGGGGATTCGAGTTTGGGGTTCAGGTTCTGGGTGCTGATTATCATTCTTTCAGCTGCACTTTTGAGGTGTAAGGCCAACGATATCAGGTCACGAAACCTGAAACGCCACACCCGACAGCCTGATATGCTGACCCCCTTTGTAACAGCACCACAGTACACGGGGCCAGCGTTTGCTAACAACGAGGATTTTCGCCTCATCTGCCTATATCAATTTTTACAAGAGATCCCAGTTATGGGTTCAAGCTAACTTCCTCATGTCGCACCAACTATTCTGCAAATCGGGACGGCGAAAGTTGGCGAGCTACCTTTGCGAATACAGCGACGATGTCCGAACCACAGCCTACGGAATCTAGAGTTGCAGAATCAAAACACAAACCCGGCATCCTCAGTTCAGAAAATCTCATTGCCCTCAACCCTAAACTCTACCGAACCCAAGGACGATCCCACCCCCACAAAGCTGGCCCAGTCGCGTGGAAAGCCTCAGCTGCTTTCCTGCCAGACTCTGACGAACTTAAACCTCGGATCGTTGGCATGCTACAGGGGCCTAAATACTTCCCAATACTCTTTTTTTGGGGGGAGTTCCGTATTACAAGCATAGAATAACGGGAACCCTATTCTACTTTCTGAGGCCCCTACATTGGCCCATCATACAATCCGAAGCCCAAGAGCCCGAACCCTCAACTTCTGAACTAAACCCTAAACGAGCTCGAAGACTTATGGGACAAAACTCGGAACCCCCACCCCCCCCCCCAAAAAAAAAAAAGAAGCTCCTCGCAACTTTAAAGAAAACATACGAAGCTCCTCGCAAGTTTAAGAACAAAATGGGAAGCTGCTCGCAATTTTACGAAACATTTCCTATAACCCTAACCCTAAACCCTTTATCATACTGGCTGTGTCGCAGCCCAAGGCGCCCAGATGCAGTGCTAGCCAAGAGCCACATGCCCGGAAAAGCCGCAGCGGCCGTCCATCCCAGGTTCGTCTGATGTACCTGGGTTGAGGGTTCATAAGGGTTCCGGAAGCAGGGGACCCTAATATTAAATAGTCCCCTAAACAGTCGGATCCTTATTGCAAGTTATAAGGGATTATAGCAAAGGCTCTAAACTTTAGACACTCTAAAGCCGAAACCCTCATTAACTCCGAAACTTTGAACCCTCAGCCCACTCACCTGCCAGCAGCGAATAAGACTTTGGCGGCGGTCAAGGCCTGGCACAGGGATGTTATCGAGGATGCCCAGTAAGCTAGGCAAAAAAGGGCTCCCTTCTTTGTATTGGGTAACTGTATAAGGAACCTAGGACTACAGAAAGGGAATGAGGGTACTACGGGGCATCCTAGTTATGGATCGTGTTGCTTCTAGCTGTTCGGTCGGTTCGAAGGCTTAGAGCTCCGAATTTAGGATTGCCGAGTGTGGACCGTTGACCGCTCAAGTTTCCGAACTAAGTCTGAGCTTCTAAACCTAGCCCTCTTACACCCTAAACATCAACCCTAAACCCCATAGATCCCTTACAGGAGCCCCTTAAAGGTACCCTTATAGATCCCTTTAAAGGAATGAAGCACGACACCCTGGACCCGAAGCAAGAAACCAGAGCCCCTAACCCTCAACCCTGAACCCATCACGACTATCAAGCAACCCATCGTCCGAAAACTACGACCCAACATCACAAAGCCTGTGCCTGCACGAAAAACTGCCCTAAACCCTAAGCCCTAAACGAAGCCATCGGATCTGCCCTGGCCCTAAACCCTCTACCTTAAACCCCCTACCCTAAACCCTAAGGCCGCAAAGTAGTTCCTTCTGGGGATTACCTAATAGGATTCTTTATACGAACCCCCAAAAGGAACTACTTTGGGGCCTTAGGGTAAACCCTATAATCCCACAGGCACTAAACCCTACGTCGAGTAAGATAAAGAAGGATGCGACAGTCGGAATACTCGAACTCCGAATTCGCAACCAGGAAGCCTGGCACCCGGAGCTTCAGAGAAATATGGGAGTTTGACCCTTAAACCCTAAACCCCAGACCCTAATCCCTAAAGCCTAGACCCTAATCCCTAACCCCTAGACCCTAATCCCTATAAACCCTAGACTCTAATTTAGTCCCTAAACCCTACACCCTAAACCCTATACCCTAATTCCTAGAGCCTACAGAGCTCATCGGATACTTGATCTCAAGGCCTGGGCTGCTACTTCTTCCAGGGTGCGAGGCTTGGAGTAATTAGGGTCTCGGCTCTGGGATTTAGCGCTGAGTTCATTTCGTTCTATCACTTGTCTGCATCTAGACGTATACATATGCATATGTATATATATATATGTATATGTATATGTATATATAGGTAACATATCTATCTATCTACCCATGTATCTATCCATTTGTCTATCTGTAATATAACTCAATGATAGTACTTGCGGCTGAGGGTTTAGGCTCTGGACTTCAAGGCAAACCAAGCCAGAGAGAGGGTCTGCCTGCAGGATTGGAATGCAAACCAGAAGCACCGTGTTCTGCGTGCTCTCCATGGCGATATCCCGCTCTGGCTGTGCCAGATTCATGACTATCAGTCAAGGTTTGTATGGTTTGGGGCATGGCTATGACCGATCCTTCATGTTGCAACCTCACCTATACCTTAAGGCCAGTCAAGGGAATCTAGCACATTGGCCACGATCTAGCGTGAACCACGAGATCGAGGATTGCGGCTTCCACAACACGCCCCAAGGCCCAACCCGTTCCAAGCGAGTTGTTGCCTCTGTCTCAAGAGCTTTGAGACCTGGAAAAGCTGTTGGCAGGAACTTCGGCGACTATCCGACTTGGCGCCAATAATACAGGGGCTTTAATAATTGTATATATTATACTATAGCTATAATAAGGAACCCCCAAAGCCCTATCTTAATTGTTAAGCCCCCTACAATACTGAAACTCAGAGCTCACCCAAACCCTCAGCCCACCCTAAGCCCTGAAGCTTAAACCTCAAGCCTTAATATAGGGGCCTTACTAGTTAGAATAGGGCTTTGGTGGATAGTACACTATAACTGTAATAAGGAACCCACCAAGTAGTACAGGTAAGAATTAACGCCCATGTATTAACTCATCATGATCTGACTGGGCTAGTTGGAAGGTCTCAAGAAGCTTGTATGATGTTTCCATGTCATCATCTGCCGGGTCGAAAACTCTTCTGCAGCAGAATCCTAGCCCAACATACTTCCTGATCCTCCACCCAAAGATGGCAGTCAGAAGCCCTGAATACCATACCCGCAACCACAACGTCGCAAATCGGTAGCTTACCTACACTAGCCGTACAGGGAACGAGGCCAACAGACACCCGAATACCTGACCGCCCAAATCTTGGGTCGTGCACCCTTCGAGCTTAACACTCCGAAGAACGGCAGTCTAGAAGCTTAAGGGCTTCTGTACTAAAACTATAACTTCACCATCTCAGGAGGCCCTAGGCCCTAATTGAACACTACGACTAGTTCATGAGGCTCCTATACCGTAAACCCCTAACCCTACTTATGTGTGGGGATTTTTAGAGCTCTAACTTCTCAGACGAACTAGCTTCCGGGTTCCCGATGCTCCATTTCAGGATATACTTTTCTACGGTGCCAATATGCACAACGAGGTCCAGGTTTATGGGGTTCATAGCGTGTAGGGTTCTAGGGATGCAGAGGTACGGACACCCCTGCCTTCGGGTACCTGGACCCCTTGCTTTACCACAAGTTCGCCCCGTGTCGGAACCGGAAGGGTCACTCCTAGTGGGCTCAAGCACGGATATGGAATCCATGCTCAGGCACTATTGAAGCTTAGATACTTTGGGAATGCTCGTTGTAAGACCCCATTACAGGCTTAACAGCGAAAACCTCATTGGTGGCCCCCAACTACGTGCATGCTACACCCAGTCTTCAAGGCATTCATCTACTCAACACCCATACCCTAAACCCCGAAACCCTTCAAATCTGAGACCCCAAACCCCGAAACCCTAGCCCCGAGCTTCATACCCAAAAGCACTAAGTGCATGGCAGCCAGGGCTGTGCAGACGAGAGCTTGTGCAGTGCGTGCTGGTAGCACTCCACTTTCATTAGGCTGAAGCCTGGTCCAAACGCCCATTCAGAGTGCAGGGTTTAGGTCTTCTTTTTTTAAGCACCTTTTTCCACCTAGCAGTTAGGGTTGGCGGAATCCTCATTGAGGGTTTAGGGTTTGGGGTGTAGGGTTTTGGGTTCAAGGTTATAGGTTGCCCCAGTAGGGATTTGAAGGTAAGAGTGCCCCTTTGTTCTCATATTCGGCTTTCATCAGGAGATCCCAATCTGAAAGGGCAAAAAAGTACTACTGGGAAACGTTGTGCATGAACAGAAAACATCCAATGCAAAGCACAAAAAACATCGTAAATCTCTCAGGGGCCCTTGCCCGCAAAAAAAGCAAGCAAGTCCTTACATCCCAGAACGTAGTTCCTGTCTTCTGCCCATTGCTCCAAGAGAAGTCTGGGAAACTGCCCCATAAGTTGATACATGCTCATAATGAAATCCCGAATACCCCAAACCGCAAATCCTGAAGCATAACCTCTGATCCTTATTAACCCCAAACCTCAAGAAGCGTCGGCTTCGATTCGGCGGGGGATGACACAGTCACTTAAGTTCTAGGCCGAAACTATGATTCTAGGGCCTCTAGGAGTCAAATCGAAACAAATCGGAGCTAGCGGTAGGGTTTTCCAGCTATCACTTTGTAGTCTTGGGGCAACAGCCCGTTGCCACTGAAAGAATTCAAGACGATATCACCTGGGCCGAGGTCATGACGACACGTAGCAACACATAAAATCCTAAGTCCCGAAGCCCGAAATGCGAAACCGAAACCCTGAAGACCCAGGCAAGTTAATGTAAAGACCCTCAAACCTAGCGCCTAAACCTGTGTCTCTCAGAGTTCTGGTTAGCCGGCAGGAATACCAGGTTTGGGGGAAGCTCTGATCCCTCAAACCATCTCTGGATCCGTACTTTGCCAATTCCACCGCACTGCGTGCGACGGTAAAGGTTCTTCCAAGCACCATAGTTACATGCATTACACAATCCTGAACTGAGGCCGCAATCTTGTCGGTCGCATGCTCTACACAACTCCCGTTGAAACCGTAACGTTGACCACAGACCCTTCCAAGCATCATCCGCCTGCGCCATACCCCGCAAGGGCAGCACAGTATGAGCCAATAGCCTCGAATTCTGAGGCTCAGGGGGTCTATGGGCCACCAACAATGTGGGTGTCCCTATTTTCGTACGGCACCTAATATTGAGGGTACCCAGAAGGGACCATCATTTTGACAACCACCCATGTGCAAAGAGCAAACCCCAAATTAAAACATATAAGCTGCACTGCAGCCAGAATATAGTAACAAAGCCCTGAGGCCGTAACTCCGCAGGCCCAAGCGGGAGCCTTGCAATCAGCTAAGCTCCCGTCGCACACGGCAAAGACCACCTCTCTAGGGACGGCAGCCTCGCGTCGTCGAACACGTTGCGTGCAGCTTGCCTACATAGGGTTCATCTCACTTATGGCTAATATCAACTGAGCCAGACATCTTATCTGGGCGCTCTGGCAAGACCTATGGTCCAAGTGCTGGCACCTCGTTTGGAACACCATGGTGCTTTTGATACTGCACAACGGGTGTGACTAGAACTGCTCGAGTGCTAGCTCGGGATTTGAAAGGATGCCACGACGAATTGTTCAAACCTTGCTAGAATTGTTCCGCAACCACTGAGGCGTCGGACCTTCACCGCCACGTAGATGAGAGGGACGTAGGGAAGGGGCTGTGGCCTTTGCTTCATTGATTCTGGTTTGAGGCCTGAGCTTAGGGGAAAGGTATAAAGGGAACTCCAGAAAGTTGGAATATGGTTTCAGGGTAGGATACCCTATAATTTACCATAAAAGGTTTAGGATAATCATATTCCAACTTTCTGGCTTTTACCTTAGGCCTTGGCCTTACGAGTCGGCCGTTGCTTTGCAGGCCCCAGAGTCCCTGAGGTGGTCAACTAGAAAGTTTTACCCGAAAACTTTGAAAGTGCTGAGTCGTTCTGAATCCCGATGCTCACCTCTAAACTTTAGAAGGCTTTATAGGGATTAGGGTTTTTCTGAACTTTAGAAACGCCAAGCAGGTATTCGGAAAGCAGAGCTGTCGTCTATGCGGATAAAGTAAATGCTCGCGGCCCGGCTCTTGGGATTGCGCGGCTTCGGGCTTTCGAGTTTAGGGTGAAGGGGTTTTGGGTTTAGGGGTTTAGGGATCTTGGGTTTAGGGGTTTAGGGTTTAGGGCAACGTGGTCGGTCTTGTTGCTTTCTGGAGCAGAGAAACCCTGCAAGCCCTGTTACGATGAGGGTTTTCTAAACCCTGAACCGAAACCCTCATCTCCCAAACCCCAAACGACAAGCTTGGAATTGGTAGTTCAGCTATGGGTTCGACCTGCATGCAAGGCTCTTTGCAGAACCGGCACTGCTTAAAGGGTTTAATTTAGGTTTCGGGCTTCTGCTACCGTTTACAGGAATGAGTAGACTATTCCTTCAGCCGCCCTATTTGTTTAGTTTATTTATTCATACACACACATACATATATAATATGCATATATATATATATGCAAATCAAAAGTCGACACCCTGTAAAATGCACAGACCGATGCCTGAACCCGAATCAGCGGTTCGGACCACCAGACAAAAGTTCCACTGCGAGGCGGGGTGTGGTTGCTTTTGACTCGAAACCGAACCGAACCTTAAAATCCTTAACTCCCACTTCGGCTGCTTGAAAGTAGAGCCAAACCCGCTTGGATAAGCATCCCAGGAGCACCGTTTTTCCTGGTTGTGCGCGTGACCCTCCCTGAAACCGTTCTTCAATGTTCTAGTACCCATAAACCCCAACCCCTGCCATCTGTGTCTGTGTCCCTTGGCTCTCAGGAAAACTTCGCCACACTGTGCCGACACTCGATCTTGCATGAACCAAGAAAGCCACGGTTGCCTCGCTTGAAGTCAAAAGCTGAATCTTCGAACTCTGGAGTTTTGCACCCTACATCTCACATACAAAATGTGCGTGCGTGTGCATAAACATACACACAAAAATGTGTGTACATAATATACAAATATGTGTATATATATATATATATATATATATATGCGTGTATTCAACATGTAGTAACTGCTCTAGCCGATGTATTCTTCAGATATGTCTTGCCCCTGCGAGTTTCAACCGAAGCCCTCTGGCTGCCGTTTGCTCCCAAGACTCAACCCTAAACCCTAAACCCCAAACCCTAAACCCTAAACCCCAAATCCCAAACCCTAAACCCTAAACCGTAAACCCAAGACTCAACAGGCCCGCCGAGGCTACCACAAACCGTCCCCCACAAGGACGGCGACGAAGAGGCCGGGCAACCTAAGGTTTTCTGTCTGGTGCTGGGTAGGGAATGGAAGGCCAAAACGGGGGTTTAAGATTCTTGGGGTAGGATTCCTTAATATGAACCCTATCATGGGAACCCTAATCCCTACTAAACTCCCACGGGCTAAAACC